TGACATTCATCATAAACTCCTTCATTCTCTTCACTTTGTTTTGCCTTGTGGATTCCATACGGTTCACATACTTGCATTGAAATATCATCATCAGCTCTATCATCATAATTAAGTAACTTAACATAATAGAATAGACTAACTTTGTTTGCTTATTAATGCATGAACTTTTCTTTTTGTAGCAAAAACAATACAATTCATTATACAAACTACAGGGATATGTAACTAGAATACCTCATAAAGCAGTAGATATTAATAATAACACTAACAGTTAGTAGACCACACAATATACCCACTAACACACTAAGAGCAATGACACTGTCTGATGTGTCACTAGTTGATGGAATCACTGAGACTGCAGGAGTAGCAGTAGAGACTGAAGTACAAGCTGTATGCATTAACATGTGAAGTGTTATAAGATGGTTGTATGGTGATAATCTATACTTACTTATTGAACAATACCCAGTAGATGAGCTGGAAATAGTCTTAGTAGATGATGATTGAACTACAATATGCTAGTCTCACAGAACTGCATAGTATAATAATTACATACCTACAACCATACCATGTAATATCACAGATTGACTGTAGTTGACTCCTCCAATCATTGCTATACAGGTAACATTAACTGACACTCCCAGTGGATCAGGATATACCAGTAGTGTGTTGTTGTATGTGTAGACATCAATTGATGAATAGTTTGACTTACTTTTCATCACTCCATTCACTAACCAGTAAACATCAGTTGAAGGATTGATATCAGTAGTTGTGAGACAATCAATACGATATTGAGTGTTATTGAGTTGTGTAATGGAGGAGACTAGTGTCCAATTGATTGAATTAATAACTAGAAATACATCAACAATGTTAATAGTACATTAAAAGGTGCAGTAGCAATACCTGGTAAGGTCTGTACACTGATTGTACTAGCAGGTCCCAGTAATTGTTGATAGGCTCTGACTGTGATGCTATAAGTTGTTTCTATATTCAGTCCATTCAGTGTGATTGTACTATTACTACTTCCCTTCACCTTTACTGTCTGCACAGTGTCTGTGTCACTAGTGACATTGACTACATATCCATCAGCATCAGATGAATCAAGTGCAGTCCAACTGACAGTGATAGTGGTAGCTGTCTTGTTGACCTCAGTAAGAG